GGCACGACTTGCTTTAGTCTGGTGAGGCCATACATGATTATTATTGGCGCTACGACGGAGTTACTACGACCACCTTCCATCTTAACTGCTTGTCATCAACTGGATTTTTCCCTGCCTTTTCCCTCTCTGGCCCTTCCGTCCGTCAGGCTCCTCTCTCTTTTCCCCCTTTCCCTCTTTTTTTATTTTTTGTTTTTTATCTTAATTTAATTTTTTTTTTTTCTCTTCCCAAGATCGTATCCTATCCCATCCCGATTACCACTACTACCTCGTGCTCTCTCTCTGCTTCAGCAGTTGATTGCTTGCTTTGCTTTCTTGCTTGCTCACTCACTCACTTTACTTACAACCAAAAAACCCACCCCCCTCCTTCCCACACTTACCACTACTGCTACTACTCCTCCCTACCACTAACTACTTTTAACTACTACTTACTTACTACTCTCCCTCCTCCCCCCCCCCTGCTGACTTAAACGCCCGAACCACCTCACCATTGCCCCGGGTCGAAACTTTCTTTGCTCTCGCTCGGTCGCTTCCGCCGTGCACTCGCTCCACACCCAATCAACCCCCCTCCTCGTTCTCTCACTCTCTCACTCCTTCTCCTTCCCTCTCTCTCTATTCCCATTCCTCCTCCCCCTACCGCCCTCTTCCCGCAACCCCCCTCTCGCGGTTCTTTCAGTCCCCTGGATCTCACGACGCCGCCGCCCGCCGTCAACTCAATTTCTTCCCCTCAGGCCCGTCTTCCGTTTCACAATTGACATCTTCCCTCTCCAGGGGCTCGTTCCGTCAAGATGGCCGACATGTCCGGCGAACAGATGCAGGCTAAGATTACCGCGGCTAGGCGCGAAGCTGAAGGCCTGAAGGACAAGATCAAGCGCAGAAAGGATGAGTTGGCCGATACAACTCGTACGCATCCCTCTTTTCCCTTTCGCATCTCATGGCCTCTTCTCGCAATGGGGGACAACAAATCGTCGTTGTACTCTTGATTGGTCGTGTGTTTCGTTTGCTGACTCTGGTTCCTTCTCTTCCCCCCCAACAGTCCGTCAAGTCGCGCAGAACCAAACTGAAACCTTGCCTCGTATTGGTATGAAGCCCCGGCGGACGCTCAAGGGACATTTGGCCAAGATCTACGCCATGCATTGGTCGACCGACCGCCGTCATCTCGTCTCCGCCTCTCAGGACGGAAAGCTCATCATCTGGGACGCCTACACCACGAACAAGGTCCATGCGATCCCGCTGAGGTCATCATGGGTGATGACCTGTGCCTATGCCCCGAGTGGAAACTACGTCGCCTGCGGTGGTCTCGACAACATTTGCTCGATCTACAACCTCTCCTCTCGTGAGGGTCCGACCCGTGTCGCGCGTGAGCTCTCCGGACACTCCGGCTACCTTTCTTGCTGTCGGTTCATCAACGATCGCAGAATCATCACGTCTTCCGGCGATATGACTTGCATGCTGTGGGATATCGAATCGGGCTCGAAGGTTACTGAATTCGCTGATCACCTTGGCGACGTGATGTCGATCAGCATCAACCCGACAAACCAGAACGTTTTCGTTTCGGGCGCCTGCGATGCCTTCGCCAAGCTGTGGGATATCCGTACCGGAAAGGCGGTGCAAACTTTCGCTGGACACGAATCCGACATCAACGCCATCCAGTTCTTCCCCGACGGAAACGCTTTCGGAACCGGTTCTGACGACACCTCCTGCCGTCTGTTCGACATTCGTGCGGATCGCGAACTCAACACCTACCAGGTAATGCTGGCAATCTGTTTCGCGAATAAATCAGTGGCTGACGAATGATCTTTCCAGAGCGACCAAATACTGTGCGGTATCACCTCCGTGGCCTTCTCCGTTTCTGGCAGATTGCTTTTTGCTGGTTACGATGACTTCGAGTGCAAGGTAAGATCTGACTGAAGCTGCCCAATTAGTTGTAATATAGGACAACCGGCTGATCATATTTCACCTGCAGGTCTGGGATGTCCTGCGCGGAGACAAGGTTGGATCCCTGAGTGGTCACGAGAACCGCGTAAGCTGCTTGGGAGTCAGCAACGATGGCATCAGCTTGTGCACTGGATCCTGGGATTCTCTGGTAAGCTTAGCAAAAGCATCACTTTGGTGGACTGGGCTGTGCAGCATACTAATCGTCCTCCGTCTTACAGCTCAAGGTCTGGGCCTGGTAAAAAAGCAAAACGAACAAAAACAGCAAAGATACCCTGTCTCAGTCTTTTGCGACGTCCTCATTCCAAGTTTCTTTTTTCCTTTTTCTGCGCCACTAGGCTAAATGTCCGCCATTGTACGATAATCTTTTTCACCGGGAGCAAATCTTGTCGCCCTTGCTCCATAATGTACTATCTCGGAGTACCGGCAAAGTTACCAAGAAGCGAAAAATCACGGGGCAGTCAGGGTGCCTAAGCATGTCGGGGTTGGGATTCTGCCGCCGTTCCCAGCTGGGTGTGACGAGCAAGAATACGCAAAGAGAAGAGCAGAATGCCAACACGAACCGACAATGCTCGACTACTGGTGCGGTGGGTTGTAATAATGCTATTGATGTTTGAGACCTCGGGATCGTTGCACGGATATCAGTGCGTTGCTGGGCAAGAGGCAGCGCATCTCACATGTCATCTTTTGAGCTTCGAAGATTTGCAGGCCCCTGTTCTTATGTATTCGCGGGCTTAATTTTCTTACTTGTGTTCATTTCTTTCGATCTCGTTTTACCCTTCACCCTTACTAACCCCATCCCCCTCTTCGACGTCTTTCCCCTTGTCTTTTTCTTCAATTTCTGACCTCGATTACTACCCTGATCGAGTATTTTTTTTTTTTCTTTTTCCTTTCCACTTTCACCTTTTCTTTCTCCCACCCCTTTTTCTTTTCTCTGACCTTTCTTACTCACTATCTTCTGTACTTTTTGCGGGTGATGGATGGAAAGGGAGGGAATGTTTCCGGATAGGCCATGACGTTTTTCCTTTGACTCTTACTGCGATCTCCTTCTGTTCTAATCATCAGCCTACGTCTTGAAAGTGTCGGTTGTGTCATTTGAGTGTTTTCAAGCGGGCTTTTCCTTTATTATATCTGGTGTTGAAATCGACCATGTTTCCAGCAAATCTTTCCTTTATCCCTCGGGGGGTTCGCCCCACGAAGTCATGTTCCGCGGCACTCTTATGTCCCGGCCTGGTGGTCAGCCAAGGTGTGGCAGAGAGTTGTTAGGCAGCCACTAGTACAAATGACAGGCAATACTTTTTGGAAAAGCTCAATAATCTCTTTGCAATATCCTGTTTTGTGTCATTGTTCCTGCTTGGTTCACCCTGCTTGGGTAGGGTTCGCTGGGATAGAACCGGGAGTGTCAGTTGGGGAGACCAGGGGGCTATATCCGTGATAGATAAAAGGGCGCTGGGATCGCTTGCAGCGGCCAAAAGGTCAGTCCTACTGGCAACGGACCAGCGTACACGGGATGTCCCAAGTTATTAATAGTTCCCACACGCGTGGGGTCGGCTGATCTATCGCCCTATACTTACTTACGTACCACTCTCGGGATGAAGGATTTGCCCGCGGAAGAGGAGTAACGAACAGGCAAGGCAACGATTCCGTACTCCACCGGGGACGGGGCCAGATCAACAGGTACAGGATGACACTGTCTAAACCGGGAGGGCAGGGCGAGCTTTTACTGGAAGGCCAGAACCTGGAAGGCCATTGTCCGGATCTCGCCCGACGGCGGAGCCCACTGGATCTGGGGGCCCTATCCAAAAGATGTGTCACTTGTTGTCTCCACCAGGGCGGCCAGCGCGGGCGATGCGCAAACCGTTAGGATCCGAGGTGAACACGTCGAACGCAAAACTTACCAGAAGCGGTGTTGGGAGTTCTTGTTGAGGGAGAGGAGCGACAGGATTTTTTCTCCGTTGATGGCGATGAAACACATCTGATGCTGCTAGATCCACTGGGGAGCTGCCAGTTGTCAGAGCAAGGAGGATCCTGATTTCCATTTGGAGGTAACCATCCAAGCAAATGGCCCTCTCTTTGCGAAGTCCCATCCTTCGTGTCCTCCAGCACACCACGTCATCAGTCGTGTGGACATTGAGTTAAAGGGTAATCACGCGGTGGCATGAAGGTTTGGGGGGTACAAGGGGAGAAAAGAGTGTGGGAGAGCCAAAGCATTGCCACGAGATCCCACGTCGTTGTGGATGAATTAGAGTGTCGGCTTTTGTGGGCTCTATAGTACGATTTTTTACAAGGACTTCCAAGTCACATTTTGAGCTAGCCATTCGCTTTAATTCCAGCCCTAGTCGATTGATATTTCGATCTTATACACACTAAATCATGAAAAACCATTGCTATTCTTTTAATTGAGCCCGCCAGCCGCACCATGGCCACAGCCATTGGGGGATCAACCATGGCACCTGGGGCAACAGAATAGGATGAAATGGAAGGTTCTTCGCGGCTTCTTTCCCCGGGGGCTGATCTCCGATTTCTGAAACACCGCCCCTTTTTCCTACTGGCTGATCTTCGCTTTCGGGCAGCCCGTCCCTCTCTCTCTTCCCCTTCCATCCTTCGGGCCTCGATTGTTTCATCTCCCGCCACTTCCTTCTTTCCACATCCCCCCTCAGCCTCTCTTCTCTCTCCCTCTCTTGCCTTTTGCTGCCTTCCCTTGGATCAACACTCTGGATTTCCCTCTCTCTTAGGAAAAGCACCGGAGCGAAAACCATAAAAATATTCTGAAACGTGTACTAACACTCTCTGGGACACGCTCCTCTACCCCCCCTATTTTTCGTGTTGGATACGACCCTTCGTCATTGGTTTCGCTTCTTTTTCTCGTTTCATTCGCTTTCTTCCCCCCCGCCAGCTGCTCCTTACCAGGCAAAAATTTTTTGAAATCGAAAAAATAAACTAGGCCCTTACGGTACCCCATCGTCGACGCAGATCAAGGCGCAGCCAAGCTCTAAGAATATCATTGACATTGTCATCGTCTTCGACCTTGTTTTAAAGCCCGGAACCCCCCCGCTTCCTCCTTCACGATGTCATCTGCTCAAGACGAGTTCAATCAACTCATAAACAACAATCGGGAGAAATTCTCTTCTCATCCTGAGGACCGTGACAACGACTCGGTTCACTCCTCTGACGCATCCTCGGACCACGACGAACCCCAATTCTCGGACGCCGAAGACACTCCCTCTGCCATGCACTCCCGCAACCCCAGCAGTTATCGCGTCCCCAACACCGTGTTCGACGCCAACACTGGCCCCAAGGGTGTCATCGCCGATGCCCAGGCCTTTGAGCGTGCTCGCAAGAGCTCCTTTCGCAGAACCCTTCTCGGCGTCGCTGGTCTCGATCGCTCCCACTACAACAAGTCCGTCAACGATGACGCTACACTCCTCCAGAACTCCTCCCCACCAGATGGATCTTCCGCTAGCGATGATGAGGAACGGTTTCTTCACCAATGGCGCGCGGCCCGCATGCAGGAAATGCAGGCCCGCAGCCTGAGGAAGCCTAGTCCGCGTCGCAAATTGTACGGGTCTGTGGATATTGTCGATGCGGTGGGATACCTGGATGCTATTGAGAAGGTCACATCCGGCACGGTAGTAGTCGTCTGCGTTTATGACCCAGAGGTATGTTCTACCCAATTGTACTATTTGTCAAGAAAACTTGTCGCTGACCCGACGCTTCTATAGTCCACAACCAGCAGCATTGTTGAAGACTCTCTCAACACCATTGCTCGTCGTCAACCCACTGTTCACTTCGTCAAGCTCCACCACGAGATCGCCGAGATGGATCACATCGAAGCCCCCGCTCTGCTAGCATACAAGGACGGCGATGTCTTTGCTACGATCGTCGAGATCCTGAGACAGATTCCCAAGGGTCGGAGCTGCAGCGCAGACAGTCTTGAAGACCTGCTCAGATCGTATGTTTCATCCCCGTATCCCTTACCAATGACCAAATCACTGACCAATCAAACAGATACCGTATCTTGTAAACGAACAAGCATTCTAGAAACGCTAAATATTCCTCTCTTCACGTTCATATGACAGCGATAATGTTCTCTGCACGAACACTTCAAAATGCAGCAAAGCGGGCGTCCAGGTCATCTCTATCCTCTTTTCCTTCTCTTGCATCCTCGATTGGCCGGCAGTGTGTCTTGGTTGTTTGTTATTTCCTTTTGTTTCTCTTTTTCATTTGTTCGGGTACATGCATGCATATAGACGGATCTACAGTACATACTTGACAGTACTACTGGTGTTCAGGCAGGCAAGGCTGGGCCTTTGATTTACATGGTTGATTGATTGATTGTTGCTTGCTTGATTGACCTTGAGCTTGAGATATCCAACACGGTTCTTGGTTTTTCTCCTTTTCGTTTTATCTCCTTTCAGATGCCACGATGTGTTATTATCCGAGACCGACTACCTATCTACTTATTTATCTACTGCTCGGAACCTACTTAGTACCGCTCGTATACGTAGCATACACATCATGCCACCAGGCATTGTATTACATCATACCATAGCTCATAAACACATAGCAAACGGACTCTACACTCATCAGCATACATCATTACGATACTATATACATAATATTTTCCCGTAACAAAACCCTTACCCAGTGTTAAAGTACTTAGTAGAACACCCACCTCACCTAACTACCAAGTACCAAAAGTACTACTACTTCGTACTACCACTACTACTGAAGTCAAGCCAGTATCCATCATCATCATCATCATCATCATCAAGTGCAATACTTCAAAATGAGGTAATTCTCTTCTCAATTCCCGCCTGTTTCACAATACAGTGCCCAAATTATTGTTTTTTATTTCGATACTAGCCAAACCACCCCCCGCCTGTCTCTGTTCCGCTACTTATTGCACGATATCATTATTACCCGTCCATCCATCCATGCATCCATTTACCACTTTAATTCTCTCCCCTTCTTCCTGGTTTGTTTTTATTTTGTGATAGTAAAGAGAGAAAGCACACCCAAAAATACAACCCAAATGGAGACTAGTAAATAGACAAGTAGGTTTAGGTAGAAGTAAGCAATCAATCAAGATAGACAATAGACAAGTCCTAGTAGTTGTTCATAGATGCGAAATGTAGCCAGTAAGGTAAGGTAAGGTAAGTAAAGTACTCCGTAGTAGGTAGTTAGTTAGTAAACTTTGAGTGGAATAAGGGGGAGGGAAAATAACAGCCAGAGAGATACAACAAGATAGCAATTGTTTCGCCCAAAAGAGGTCTGATAAAAGCAAAAAGAAAAGAGAAAATATGGGGTAACTAAGTTGTTGTTGCTTTTGTTCACAAAGCGCCTTTCTCCTGCGTGAAATCCCACAGCATCTTGATTAGGGTGTCTGGAAGAGTATATAGGTCGACGTGGAATTCTCCCTCTGTGATGAGATTGAATTGGTTAGTTAGTGGGATGAGAGATTTCAAAAAAGGTATTGGTATCTTACGCTCAACATCGTTCTTGGTATACGAGTCTGGGGCTTTGTTGTCGTGCACCATCTGTACTACCTGAAGGAGGTCGTCTTCGCCGAGTCGCTGCAGACCGTCGGCCAGCTTGTCCATGTCGACCTGGGATTGGGATCATGTCAGATGTGTTTCTAGTATGATTTTTCCTCTTCTGAGGTCGAGACATCGCTTACACTCTTCTCTGTCCGCTTCTTCTTCTTGGATCCCTCCTCTCCGGTTGCGGCGCGTTTCGACTTCACGCCATTCTCGTCTCCTGGGACGGGTCCGGATTCGCGGAGGAGGGCTAGTAGGGCAGGCTTGGGGTTCTTGAACGTCTGTGCGGGAGAGAAGAATTAGCACAATCAATGGTGTCTGGGAGTGCTGGGAAAACACTGAGAGCCATCTACTCACAATAACGTGCTTGGATTCGTAACGAGGCTGAGCAAAGTTCAGATCGTGCGTAACGAAATGCTCCTTGTCGGCGGCAGTGAGGCCTATCTGCATGTCGAACTCACCCCATCCTTCCTCTGAGATTCTGAAAGGGGGGTTCTTGAAAGCTGTTCCGATGTCAGCAGCTGCTAGTGATCCATCTCCCAACTTTCTTGTGTAAAGTCGACCAGCTCTATCGCCCGGTTTTCAATGGCCTGACGCGAATCGAGGGGTATCTGAAGCGCAGAGGTGACGTACTCTGAATGGCCCTGTCGCCGAAACTAGGGTGCAGCGTGTATGTCACTTTGTCAAAGACATTGGCAGGCACCTGCTCGCCGTGCTCATTGACAACGTAGATCTCAATTGACCATGATCGGAGGGGGAATCCTTCAACGCCGGAGTCTTTGTTCCTGTAGACGCGAAGACGCGCACGAGGTCAGCAAAGAGAGACCTTTCCTCATCTCAAGCTTCTGCCCTTGTGCCATTCTCTGCAGAGGTAACCGTGTAGGAAGCCAAGCGCACACCGAATCGCCATCGCGCGAGGACCGACAACAGATGTGTGAAGAAGGGGAGAAGGATAGGCAGCGATGACGGGGAAGAGAAGCGGCGGTGATTCAGGAAATGACTCGGGAACCGGGAGGATTAGTAGGAGACAACGTACACGATGTGCTGCTCGGTCACCAATCTGACATTTCTCTTAACCTGTAGAAGTAGAGCAAAAGCGTCACGTCAGTGTCATGCGATCGAGTGGAAAGTAGACCGAGTTTGTTCGCGTCAAGCGCCAGTGGGAGAGTGGTGCCATTGCTGAATCTGGGGAGGGAAGCGGAACTCACGTCAGGCATCTTGAAAGAGGAGGGTGGATCAATCGCCCGTCAAAATCAGAAGAAAAGAACTAGAGGTTGTCTTCCCAGAGACCCTTCCCGCGAAAGTCTGAATGGGATGCAGGAGCTATCGGATGTAGAGGTCGCGCGATGCCTAGGTGAGGCAAAGTCGGATGTTTGGCGGGAGTTCCTGTCGGAAATCCTGCAGATTTCGGAGCGGAGTGAATGGTTGTTAGCGGGGGGAAGGGTGCAGTTCAAAAGGTGTCCGACCAGCGAGGGATGGGGTTAGACGTAGAAACAAGAGAGGGAGGAGGAGTGAGCGAGAGTGAAGCTTTCCGCGGGCTGAAAGCCGGGTGGGGGATTGGAAGTGGTTATTGACTGCCGGACGGCCTCTTTCTTTCGACGCGGCGGCGCGACGACGCCCAAGGGTCACTCACTCACTAACTAACCGCCAGCGTCCAACAGCTACAGCCACCCACATTCGAGTTGCATCTCATTACTACTAGCTTTTCAAGGAAGGGGGGTTTTCTGTGCTCGGGAATTCACTTCAATTTTTCGAATGTAACATCGCGGGATAATCCATCTATTCGAAGTTTTGGGGGGAGGGAAACAAGGGAAATCCCTCCACTACTACTATCATCAGAGGGAGAGCCAAGTCAAACTCTATCGATCGATTGTATAGGTACAATAGGTGCAGGCAGAGACTTCGTGAATTTCATACGTATATTTTGGGGGCATGTGATGTCTATCTACTGTGTACCAAGTCGCACGACATGCAAGGGACCACATGGCCGAAAAACCAAGGACCCATGCATGCATCGACTCATGGTCTCGCCATGACCGGCGTCATTAATTCTGTTTTCTCTCAAGCAGGGGCAGTGAAAATGGTAAGGAGCTTGATGCTTGTGAGAAGAGAAAGGGGGAAACAAAGATAAGTCGGGATGAAGGTGAAATAGGTCTTTCATGAGCAGTCCACATCAGACTCGTTATGCTGGGGGAAAGGGAATCAAAATGTTCATTAACAATAGCCCTCTATATCACTGATGACCGGGAAAATCCGAGGCCAGGAACCTGCTTACTGCTGGCTAAGCAGCTTCTCGTTCTCTTGCTGGGCCTTCTCGAAAGCGTCCTTGAAGAGGTTGGCGTCTAGAATTCGATGTTAGCAAAATGAACCTCCCCCCCTTCTGTATCTCGATGTCCACTTACTCTCACTGTTGGCAAAACGGATGGCCAGGGTCTGCGCCTCGGGCTCACCCTCACTGACATCAGCGGTAGCGTTCCAGACCCAACTGCGGTCACTGCCAACGTTGGGGCTCAACTTCATATCGGGAACAACTAAAAGATCGATTAGCCATCCAAGTCCACACCAAACGATGAACGGCAACACTCACTGTAGTGGTTAGCGCAGACCTTGAGGGTCTTGTCGCGGCGCATCACGAGGCGGGTCTTCTGGTTCTCCTTGTGCTTGAGCAGGCGGACGTCACCGGTACCACGCTCCTTCCACTCCTTGCTGTCACGGTCGAATCTGAAAAGCTTGGCACGCATCTTGAAGGTCTGCTCCTCCAGCTCCTCGTTGGTCTTGGTCTCCACCTTCTCGGTCAGGCGGATGACAGGCTCGAAGTGAACCTCAGGGGACTCGGGGGCCTCGTCCTATAAGTTTGTAACAACATGGTTAGCCACCAGTAGCCAATATAACGATTCTGTCGTAAAACGTTTGCAGAATCCAGCAAAAGGCGGACGAAGAATCAGGGGTAAAGAGGAAAAGTGGACATCAATGGAGGGGAAAGCGGGGTAACGGTTGAACTGGCGTAAGGGGACCATCGACACCAGCATAGCGAAAATCAAATGCATACCTCATCTTCACCCTTCTGAGCCTTGGAAGAGCCGGAGGGCTCGTCCTTAGCATCCTCAGGCTCCTCCTGCTTCTCCTTCTTGGGGCCACCGCCGAACATGGAGAAGACGCTGTCGGTGGTCTTGGTGGCAGTGTCCTTGACGGCCTCGGCAGCGGACTCGGTCACCGACTTGGACTCCTCGGGCTTCTCCTCAGTCTTGGTCTCTTCGGTGGCGGTGGTGGTCGTCTCCTCGGGCTTCTCAGCGCCCTCAGGAGCGCTGATGGTGGGGTCGGGCTTGGTCTCAGCGACGTCAGACATGGTGGGTGGTATGCGTTGGCTGTCAAATTTATAAGCGGGGAAGTTCCGATAGATATGGATGTTTCTGGGGATGTACCTGGTAAGAAGGAGGAAAGGAAGAAATGTATCGGGGAAGTGGGAGTCACTGAGGAGGGGTGGGAAAATATGGACGGGGTTGTTTTGAGGTGGGTAGGTTCATTGCCTAAGCGCCTAAGGCCGCACTAGCGCCACCGCCCTGCAAGTCTGGCTTTGCTGATGCCGGCGGGCGATCCGCAGTAACTATAACTTCTATCACTACTCCTTACAGAGAGACGTCTAGAGACCGAATTCACTCGTGAGGAAAATCGAAAAGGTCATGCACGTGGCAAGTGTCAACATACTCCACTGATACATAATCCAGCATGTATTTCAGGAATTTATCCCATGATTCAGTCCGACCCTGATATCTGACCCATCCTTTCGCCTGCGAGCAACCCCAATAAACCAGCCCAAGAAGCAATCAACATAGGAAATTACATGAAAGGAATGAATGTTATTCTGAAAAAACTACTGCCGAAATGTTGGCCTCCAATTATGAGGCACAGCGACAATAGCCCTATTGTGAACACTCCGACTGCTGACAAGTCCTCCGTCTCACCAGACTTCGGGCTCTCTTCTGCGCCGTATCCAAAGCCTTGCATTTCCTCGCATCTCGGAGGCGTTCTTTCACTGCACCAAGGTCAAGCGCATGTGCATGGGAGCTGATCTTGTCCCATGTGCCACTCATCATCTCTCTGGCTCCTGTATGCACTTTATGGGTCTGAGCCTGCAGTGCAGACGAGACAGCTAAAAGTGGCTGCACGGCACCTTTCTTGACGACTTCGGTAAACTGCTCTGATCGGGACACTACTATGTCCTTCGTTTCGCGGGATATTTGCACCGACTCGGGTCGCAAAGTAGACGCCTCTTTCCGTAGAAAGTGCGCCCTTCTTACAACATCTCCCATGAGCACTTGCAAATCGGTGCAGACCCGACCATAGACCTCGGACAGTCCGGTCTGCGCAGTAGCAAAGTCTCGTAAAATCTGAGAGGCAATAAGATGGGCTGCGCGTTTCCAGTTCTGGATCTTCAACCACGGTGTCCCGAAGTCCACAGATGTTGTCTGTATGTGGGGTTTCGTTGTAATCGTAGTTAGTGTCACATCCACCTGACCGTATGCATCCGCGCGATCTAGTTTCAGCGTGTACACCCCGTCGAATAACATCGAGAGTTCATACTCGAGAGGCTTGTCATTCCGACTGACTTGGACGTTAAACTTTGGCTGTTTTTTGCCAAGTTTGTGAGGCGGCTTGATTACAAGATGACAATCACCGACCACCTGGATTTCAAACGAGTCCGTCATTTCATGCCGTTCGGAAACATACTGTACGCCTTCTATCAGGTCGTGTAATCGCGTGTTGCTGCCCACATGGTCCCCTCGCAGCTCGAGGTCGCCAAGCGATGTAGGCAACACGGAAAGTGATGTCACTGTATGCAAGAAGCTGGTAGCTGGGACACTGCTCGAAACAGGGGTGACAGCTTTGGTTAGTGTATGGTCAGCATATTGTCGAGAAAAGGTCGAGTTAGCGGCGAGCATGGCTGTATGGCCTAAGAATACGAATACAATAGATAGGATACTGAAAGCAATGAAACGATACGCAGACATCGACACCCCATAGTCGCCAATATAAGGACGAGAGAGGTCTTTATGGATGGATGTGCACCATTTCCAAAATGATTTGGTGCGCGGGGAATCCAAATCCTCCAACGCCATTTGACATGGTTTTCTGGGACAGATGGTTGCTAGGGACGCCAGGTTTCTGTTGAGTTGCCCGGGTGTAATACTTTCAAAGGTCTTCAGATCGATAGGATACCTCCTGAGAACCTTGGACTTTCCGTCCAGGGCATTGCGGAATTCCAGACACATGTGGAGACTGTGGGGATTAAGAGGGACAGGGTCTCTAGACATCGTCCAGAGCGGCTTTTCCGAGATGACCATAGTCGGAATACCGTGTCGTTCCATGAGGATGCGGGCCATTTTCTGGGTCTCAATGTCTTCGGGAGTATCAGTGCCAGATAGGAAAAAGATGGCGACATCAGGGAGCGCCCATTGGACCGAAGATGAAATACAATAATCGGCCCCTGACCACATCGAAGAGCATGGTGGCCGACCCTTGAATTTGAGTGTGATTGTGCTGGGCTTGTCCATGTGGGGATCCGCGGTAGCCTCGGTGCATTCGTCCACAATAAGCTGAACATGAATGGGAAGGAGCTCGGCGAAATTGGGAACTGCGCCTGCACCAAAGGACGTTGGAACGACATGATACCTGGAGGACTCTGTAGAACTGCTCTCGAAACCGCTATAGGTGCTCGACACTAACACATCACCGATTTTATCGAGAATGATGTTTCGAAATTCAGGGCTGCCAATATATACCACATGGAAAGGCTTGTCGGTGTCAAGGCTTTTCCTAGTCATGGTCTGCTGCACGGTGGCCGTGACAGTCGAGCCTTCTGACCTGTTAGGAAGCTCTTGCTCCAATTCTGCTGTGTCAGATCCTTCGAACACTCGGATGGTATGCTTTAGTTCTACCCGTTCAATTTCGGGCCAGTTCTCCGGTTCAATGAACTCGATGGACTCAACCGACTGCCGTAAAGCCGTCTTGGTAGTTAGGTTGCTGTCATCGATCGAGTTTCTTATGTGAGGGAAGGCCGATGAGAGTTCCTGGGACACTGAAACGTTGCTCCTGGATTCATAGCCATCACCATCAAACCCATCCTCGTCATTTGTATCCATGTCGCTGTTGCTGGACCGGCCATCGAGACTTGCTACGTCATCAGGACCGGTCTGATCGATCAAAGACCCAAGATCTGTTTGTTCAGAGCGAGTGCCATCTTCCGAGTGCACGTCGGATGCACTCATCGTCGCCCAGCTTTCGCTTAGGGACTTGGAGTGGTGTTCCATTGGAGTTGACGTCATACTGATAGGCCGCGATCGCGATAACCACTCCTCTACAGAGGCACTCAACGGCGGGAGAGTGGGATACTGTAAGCTTGAAGCGGTTGAAGGGTGTTGGGAAGGCCTGGGGTGAGGCTCTGAAGAGTCAGCCATGGTGTTTGCGAGTGAATGTTCATCAGTAAGGTTCTTGAGGGAAAGAGCAAGTGAAGAGCTGCAGAGTGGAGCTTTGACCGGAAGCAGAGGACGACGGATAAGCTCAGGAATGAAGAGGATGAAGAGTCAGCGGAAGTATACGTTAACTTCAACAAAGCAAGTTCTGCTGTCTACTACAGGAACACTCTGGCTGGGGGAGAGTCTGCCTGGATTGTCCGAGCCTAATAGGCAGATGCCCGATGACAGCCTAGGCGGACGATGAATTGCAAGTGGGGGTGAGGCGCTTGATGCTGCTGTTGTTCCTCGCGGCCCGGGCGGAAGATTAGGTCAGGTGCCTCACTCGGGGCAAGATGGATTTAGTTCATCAACGTGTTTTCGGAAACTAGCGGTAAGTGGAGGGGGGAAAGCCTTGTAAAGAGAAACCGACCGAAGGTGAGTTGGGGAAAATGGGAGCAAAGGTAGTAGGGAAATGCAACGGTCAAGGGAGATAGATAGATAGAGATGACTGGAGTGACTGGACCGGAAGAGAAGGTGACGGCTATCTTGCGCGGGGCACCTGACATGGGATTATCACGGCAGTCGTGACTGGATGTCACTAAGTAATACCTCAACCCTCTCTCTGGCTGGGTCAGGTGGGAGTTAAGGTTTCCGTTGCTCAGGCTTAGCGGTAAGTAAGTAGTAGGAACATATCTCATCAGGTGTTTGTTGGCTGTCTATCATGGCTGCAGGAGACGCCAGTGACCCCAGCTCCAAACTATCGCCGATAAGGCATCCGTTATCAGGCTACTCTCAGGCCACTACACCCGATCTAGACTAGTAGGCCCCTCCCCCAATCTTGGAGAGGGTCCAAGTCTTGGTCTTGATTCTCCCCTTTGACCCTTTCCTTAACTGTCCCGAGAACTGAAGATGACCGACCAGATAGACAGTATTATTTTAGCACCAAATACCAGGAGGACTTCACATTACTAGAACATCCCATGCAACTATGGACAAACAGTAACTTCAAGACTTGAGACCATGACAATATATGGATGCGCGTGATTGTGTGATTGAAAATGAAATGAAAAACCTCCCGTTTCAGCACGAGAGAACAGAGAGAAGCATATAAAGTAGATATGTACATTTCATGACATGATGTGGGAAGAACGGGGCATCGAACTAAAAAGAAATATTCAAAGGGGAAAAGAAAACAGCAAATTGATGTCAAAACAGCAAAATAGGAACACATGAGGCTTGCACCAGGTGGTGGTAAGTAGGGACAAAAGACATTTGATAGGTGCTAGTACGGTGCGGATGGCCCGTTCAGCAGGAGGTAAATAAGTAGGCTCTAAGAGATCTGCAACAATGTCTGGTCGTTGTCGGTCGGCGATCCTTCGCTTGTCCATACAACACCCCCCCAAATACCAACTGGAGATTTGCTGTTCGCTGCCTGACAATGTCAGGGGTAAGCCACGAGGGCGAATGAGAAACCACCAAAGCATGCCCACCACCACCAGACATTGGGTATCACAAGCAGACGCATCCAGCCACGCAACCTCACAACGTATGTTTGTGCTCAATACGAGGAACGAGATTGCTTCTGGCCTGCCATCGCTCCAGTGAGCCGACCAGAAACGTGGTCCAGACGAATGACTTGGTAGCCGACTTGGATTCCCAACAGCACGACCTTCTGAGCATACACTTGTTTTCTTTTTAGAGTGATTGCGGCAAACCAGGTGAGATATACGAAGCACGCTAGATGTATTTGTCCATATTGATGAGAATGGTCACACCGTCTTCCACGTAAGAAGCCGTCAGATCCGTATAACGCCGTCCAGAAACCCACAGCCAACGTAACATGCAGGCTCAAGCAAATAACTCCAAGGGCGAACCGAGTAATGCTCATAGTCGA